ACACATTTTAATGGACCACAGCAATTAAAATAAGTGTTTTGGTCTCAGTCTGTGCATAATAGACCTTACATAATTACCTTCACACGCGCGCACACACACAGAATAATGACAAAATGCTCAGAAAGTCCCCTCAGCCCCTGTTATCTGGTCTGCAGTTCACAGAGAGTGAGCTGAAGTCCACCCACTCTCCTCATGTCTAATTTATGTCATTCAGTCATTTTTTTAAACTGCTCCTTCTTCTGTTGTGATCACTCCATCTTCCTTCACACACACACACACACACACACACACACACACACGCCCGGTCCACACAATCACACAGTAAAATTTACTGAGCCCTCCTCTGCTCACTTGTCGACTACCCACACACAGCATCAGACTTCCTTTGGTCTGTCTTTGGTTGTTCCTCTGTTTCTTACACTCTCTTCTTCCTCTCTAGATGACGCGTCTGGTTTTACCTCAAATGGTTGAGAGGTAAGTTTGTCTGACTTCAGCAACACACTGTTTATCTCTCTTTTCTCAAGACTGGATTTTGACTGACTTTAGCTATAAATCCTATGTGATATACAATAAATATTATAATACTAAATGTGTTTAAATGTAATCTGTATGAATACTTTCTATTTTTTTGAAAAAAATATTTATTTTCATGCACTAATAATATCTGCCTACTGCTTTAAATATTTACCCATTTATAAAAAAAAAAAGTATTATTGGTGCAATAGGTGCAGTACCTACCGGTACGTTCAGTGCATACCGAACACTACATATACTGCAGTTTCAAGCAATGCTGTTGTTATTTACTTCTCATGCGTGAGCATTAAATTATTTATAGCACTTATTTTAAATAATGCTGACAGTTCTTTGTTGCAACTCTGTGAATTTTTCCACAGTCTTCCAAGTAAAGGATTATCTCATTTTACAGTATCTCATCATCACATTCTCTCATAAGTTGTGGCTACTGCAGTATAGTTTGGTTTTGGTCAGCACCAAGTCTGGAGTCCTTGTTCTGCCTAAAATGTTGCCTGTGCTTGTTTAAGTTTTTGCCACAAAGTTGACATGTATTCATCAAACTGGTGTAATTACTGGTGCAAATACTTTGCTTTGCACTTTACTGTATCTACTGAGGCTTGGGATATTATTTTGTTCTCTTATCACTACATCATTTGGCATATGGATGATATTTTGCAGTGTGAAGTCAAATGATACTGAAGAGCCCATTGATGCAGAGACGCACCTGTTTAGTAGATGAAAAGACAACAAGGAAGTCTATAGTTTTTCAGCAGGCTAGTACACTGCCTTATGCTACAAAAATGTCCACAGGAAAAGTTAGACTGATTGGAAAAGAAATCTATACTTATGTTTACAGCTGTTGTTTGAAAAAGTCTAAGAGGAAGAACACTGAGTATGACCTAAGTTATGAGCCGAACTCTGTGTCAACATATACTGTAAGGATTCTGTTGTGTTCCGTAAAGTAATTTGTGTGAAAAGTACACAGTAGAGGCACCATTCCAACTTCTGTGGATTTAAGGTGCTCTGTTCGACTCGCTCTCAGTCTGCCAGTGATTGGGACAAATTTGTTCATTTTTTTAACATCTTGTATCTTTGTGGAATATTCTATGACTGTCAGAAGTCAGAGCAAAATACCAAGTTGTAAATATTGCAGCGTTGATGTTAGTGTTTGTTTGATCTCGTCAATATCTGCCGACTTGTCTTTGATGTACAACAAAAGCAGTGCCTGCTCAGCTTACAAGCATGTGGTAGTGCATTCACTCATCGTGCGATTGATTTCACGCTCAAGTGTTTTTTTTTTTTTCTTGTTTTATGTGTCTTGTGTTGTGTTACTCTTTGGTGTAACGCAGTATTTGATCATGTACCTGTATGTTTCCAGGAAAAAGGGGGTCGTCCTCAATATCTCATCTGCCAGTGGGATGTACCCCGTTCCCCTTCTTACCGTCTATTCTGCTTCCAAGGTAATTATAATGCAGTGTGTGAACTTTTCTTCAAGGGTGAACTAAAGTGTTTTTTTATGGACTCGGCTGAGGAGAAACACAACCGTGAACAACAGATGTTAGTCCAACATTTATGGAGACGAATGAATAAAGCGAAGAATTGTCTTTTCCATTTTTGCCGTTTTTTTAACAGTTGTGTACATAAACAAGTCAGTGATTATATCGTATATTGTGGCGGTGTAATAATTTTAAATGTTAACACGAGCATTTGGCATCATAATGTTTTATATCTGTCTTCTGTGTATTTCCTAACTCAAACCATCCTTCTGTTTACAGATTTCACTGATTTATTTTCCCAATCTTTACACTTGATTATCCTACTCATAGCAACCCAAAGTTGAAGTTGCTCCATGTAATAATTGCCCTTAGTTCTTAAAAAATCTCTTTTTCTTTTTTAATTAAAGTTCCATGATTGTATGTTTTGTTGAGCATTTATCACATTTTAAACAATGTTGACATTTTTTAGGCATTTGTGGACTTCTTTTCAAGGGGACTACAGGCTGAATACAAGAGCAAAGGCATCATCATACAGGTTAAAATGTTATTATCTTGACCATTAAGTACATGGTTATCATTTCGTAGAATTTAAATATGAAATTGACCCCTTAAATGTCATTTAGTCCCATAATTGTTGAACCGTTGTTGTCAGCATGTCTAATCTGAGTTTCTCATTGTCCTACAGAGTGTTTTGCCATTTTTTGTTGCCACCAAACTGAGTAAAATCCACCGTGCTACACTGGACAAGCCCAGCCCTGAGCGATATGTTGCGGCTGAACTCAACACTGTGGGGCTGCAGACTCAGACCAATGGCTACCTGCCCCATGCAATAATGGTAAACCTGATTATTTGGAGGCAACAACCTTCAATCTTTAGAGAACATCTGTTTTTTTTTTGTTCACAAACTAGATATTTTTTATAAACTTCCTAGAAGAAGAAATCTATAGTAATTAACCCAGAACACTAGCATACAGGTAAAGAGCAGGAAAAAAACCTTTTTGACTTTAATTTGTAAAACATGATTCAATCTAGAAATGGATCCTTTCAGAGCCCTTAAAAAATCAAGACAGAGACTAAATGAGAAACACAGGGTGAAACAAGAGACTTTCCTGTTTTTTATAAAATGTTTATTGGTCATAGGTTTGGCCAAAAGGACTAAATATAGTAGACTCCAGCGAAGGCTTACACTTGGCAAACAAAAAAGAATGACTTTCTTAGCATTAAATTAGTTTTACAACTCGTGTTTGTTCAAATCTAGGATAGTTTTCTGTGTCTTATAATTGTTTTTATTTTTAGCTTAAAATTGTAGTCCAAAAATAGGCTACAAAAGCATGAGGACTGCAGTGTTTAAAAAAAGAGAAAACTTAAAACAAATAACTACAAAGCTCCACAATACCTGTTCTGTTTAGGCCTCAGTGTTTTTGTCATTTTTTTTCTTTAAACTGACCACTGATCCCAGTCAAAAATGTTTTTTTTTTCCTGGAACTAGCTGTGATTCTTTGTAACCCCAATGCAGGAGGTAAAACAGACTCTGTGATCTTACTGCTTTCAAGGTCTGACATTGCAGCGTTGTCAAATAACTCATCAGCCCACAATTTCTCTTTATACCCAAGCACCTCTCCTCTGCTCACCTCGATTTACTGAATTAATTTTGTGTCAACAGTTACTATAGCATCTGTCAACAAGTAAACATCCTGTGAAATAATAGAGTATAATGCTTCACTACCTTGCAGCATTCCCTGCATCCAAACACAGTAATTACTCCATGGAGCAAAAGCATGACAAATGAGACTGAAACAAATCTGGTTCTGATGTGTTGCCAGGTGTCTTTGTTTTAGTCGAGTTCAAAAAGGGAGATCAATCAGTTCCTGGTCTCCTTCCACATTTCTCATGCCTTTGTATGTGTCGACTATGGTTGCATGATGTGATCTGAATATCAATGATATTTGCTGCACATATCGGTGACAGCACCATTCATTTCACATGCACATGCAGTCGATAAATCATATTCAGAATATAAAGGCTTTTGTTGATCCTCAGCAGTTTGGTACAGATAACAGGAGCAGGCACAGATCTCTCCTGTCAACAGCTCCTGTATGTCAATGAATCACCACTTTCAGACAGGTTGTGTCAGCTGTGATTATCTAGTCACATCCCTTCAAACTGGATGAACATCTTTACATTTCCACCAACAATACAGAGCACAACACTCTGTCATTTAGACTTCTGTTTAGCTGCAGTCCTCATGTTCTCTGTATAATGTGTATCAAGGAGTACAAATCGTAAAACTGTCTGCTTTAAGATGCACACAGATCATTAGGGCATTCAATGTAAAAACACAGCGGGAAAAAAAAGAAAATCATAATTAGGCCAGAGCGGGAAAAAAAGCAACATTCAACATTTCTCTTTGGGGAGTCAAGATGAAAAAAAGATGACAGTTGTGACACAGCAGCAACTCATTCCAGAAGTGTGAAAACAAATGTCCTCAGAAAACCTGTGGTTCATTTCCCTCAAAACTCTGGCTCATAGACCTGAATAGTCCAGGAATAATATTCTCATGTGGGAATCTTCACAGTTGACATAACGCCTTAACGTGATTAAGAGATGTTTTATGATCTACATTCCACAGTGTGCTTTGATCTGTGAACTGCAGAACGGTGAGACTCAGCACTTAAAGTACTGGAATAATGACATAAACCTACTTTGAAAGTTGTCACAGATGCCAATTATCCCTCAGGGAATGTGACATAAATGGAGAAATGTATATTTGAATAAAATCAAAAGTCATTTTAATTCTCTAGTCTTTGAATAGTGATCCACTTCATATATAGTATTGACATCAGCATTTTTTTGAGTGCATGAAAAAATTATGAGTCCATTAGGAAAAAGCTGCAGTAATGAATAAATGCATTTCAACCATTTCTAAAAAGCAAACATATGCAAGTATTCTTCCTTACTGACCCAAAATACTACTTCAGTGAGGCGTGCTGATGTCAACTCTTTAGTCACACAGTCATTTACATTATCACCAATACTAAATTGCAGCTTTAAAGCAAAGGTGTGTAATACAGTTATTATAACAGTAAGTCAACAGTTAAAGCCGTTGTGTCATAAAATGTTCCCTTATTTAGGAAGTGTGTGTGTGTGTGTGTGAGTGAGTGTGTTATTGGGTGTCCATGTGTGCTTTGTGTGTGCTTGGGAATTCTAAAAACAACACCAGTAGTTTAATTTCTTCACACGTCTTGGTGATTAAATTCTCAAAACAAATTAGGCATTAAATATTTAATTGCTTTAATTACAGCAAACCATGATTCTGTGAAACAGTTGCAAATTTCTGTCCATTTAGAAGAGTAATTTTACATCCGTTTACATCTAACAAAAGTAGAAAGTTGTTCTACAGAAAGTCGAAGCAGGCATCCGTTAAACACTGAAATGTAATTTTTCACCTTTGTGTGCGTCAAAAAAAAAAAAGTGCAGCTGCTGTAGCAATTTGGCCCAGAGTAGATGCGACACGACTCGGGTGTAATTTCAGAGAACATTGAAACAGAGCCTTCTCCCACTGAATGGCTGAAGGAATAAAAGTAGAAGCTCAGTTGTTTTTTTTTTTTCTCTAAATGCCACTGGCTGATCATGTAATTCTCTCTGTGAAGGGTTGGGCGACTACTGCTCTGCTTCCTGCCAAGATCGTCACCAGCCAAATGATGGGAATGATGTTGGCGCAACGTGCTCGTTACCTGAAGAAGCAGAAGCAGGGGTAGCGTGAGAGAAAGCGGCAGTGACCAGGGGAGAGAACCAGGAGTTGACTCCTCATCCGATTACCAAACCACCATTATCATGGACCAATTAAAAGAAATGTGACCATTCGATTCTGCCGCTCACGTTTTTCTTTTTTTTTTTATATATATATATGTGGTCAATAATAACAACCTAAAACTTCTGCACTACAGTTTGCTGTGTGACCAGCTTTAATGTACAGGATGGCAAAACTGTAACTTAAACCAATGATCACATACAATGATGTCTGTCAACATTGTATGTGAACATTGAGTTGACAGGAAAAGGTAATTTGGAAAGACTGCATTGTCTTTGTCTGGGGTTGACAGTTCATCAGCACTGGCTTTAGACATAGATTAACTTTGTATTTGGATCACATGTATTAGTAAGAGCCTACAACGTACAAACTAAAATGAGTTTGTTTTTAAGTGATAGGTACTGTAAATGGCTACGTTTTCTTCTGAAATGCTTGGACACAAATTTAGGTGAGTGCTTGACAGAATTCCACGTGGTGTTGGGGAATTTTATGCAGTGATACTTTAGGCTTTTTATTGGAACTATAGCTGTGGCAGTATCAAAATCTTTTGATAGTCTTTATTTTTTTTATCAGCAAACAGCAAAAACATTATCAGCGTGTGTTATTGTGTGTTTTAATTAATCCTTCGAATCTGTTTTTTCTGTTTTCACTGTTGTGTCACAGTTTAGGGTCCACATGGACAATAAGACATCATCATCTTAAATCTCTGTTCTTAATACGCCAGCATGGAGGGACCTTGCTGCTTTGGTATTAAACTGTGTTTTGTTTACATCCAAAATAAACAGTAAAATTAATTCCTGCAGATGGCTAAACTGCATTGGCTCTTTTCGACGTATCCGAGCCTGTAAAAGTAGGTAGTGTGTCAAATTCTTTAATCTCACTGTTTTCATCAGCTGTTGTCGCAGATTTAGAAAAATCTTCAACCAAATGTGACAATGAGACTCCAATGAAATACGTTTTCCACCTTCTTCTCATTTTCTGCACTGTTTGGATTTGTCCTCCGTCTATTGTTAAACTGAATAATTACTGTTTTAAAAAAGGCGTCAAACATTACACTTGTACTAACGGGGAAATGGGGAGGAGCAGAAATAGAACACCTGGATACAACTGTGGTTGTAGTATTTGTCCTTGGAAAACTGCACATTAAAAAAAGATTTTCAGATAACATCTAACAGATGTCTCTGTTTTAAGTCCCTTGATTTTTATTAATTTGTCCTTCTGTGGTTTACTGCACTGCTTGATGTTTTTGAGGACACTTTAAGCCAATCTTCACCAAGGCCTGATAAGAAAGTATCTTTTTTTTAATTAAACTTAGTTCTTGTGCAGAAGCAGGAAACAACATGTAGTTTCTAATAGTACATGGTTCTTATTATTGGACACGTAGCTGTGGAGACAAAATGTTAACTTTAGAGGGAGTAAGACTAACATAACAAAAACAATTATTGTTGTATTTTAGTTTTATTTCAAAGTGCGCTTTGTTAAAGGGTCGATTACTCGTCAAAGTGTGGAATACTCTTTACTTCCTATGCAAGTCAAAGCCAAACCCCAAGTACTAGGTTTGATGCTTTGGGATTGTTTTCTATAACCTACTTGTGCAACCTACTTTTTGTCAGTCTGCTCAAATGTGTTGCTTTCTCATGTTCTGCCTCTTCCTCCCCTGCAGAACCATCCAGTTCCCATGCCAACAGTTTCTCAGAGATAATTCCGGTGTACAGGTATGGAGAATGCGGAAATGTGTCATCATTGAAAATGTAGGAGGGAAGCAGAGCTCTGCATGTGAAGGAATGCCTACAGGAAGAATTGAGTGGGAGCAGAGATGTACATAAGGAGAAGCTCAGCAGTGCTCAGGTCCATGGCTCACTCAGACTCTTCAGTTTCAGAGCGAAGAACGAACTGGAAAAAAGAAGCAAAACAGGATCTCTCATCAGGCAGAACATTAATCAGCGCTCACTGATTTTGTGCTACATTTCAAATCTCTGCACATCATCTGCCTAAAAGCACTGGACCTGCTTCTTTGACAGAGAAGAATTGGAGAAGATCTGACTGCCTTATCTTTTCTAGAGCATCACTGTCCTCTCCTCAGCTCCTCCTCTTCATCACAGTTAGGCCGCTCTTCATCATGGCAACCAGCATGGAAACGCTCCCTGCCCATCTGCTGCCTTTGGTAATGGAGGAGTTCCCTCACTCGCTGGTCACAGCGTGCATTTGTCGAGCAGGACTACGTGAGCCACGCCTCCGCTGTGTGCAATGTGGCATCATTGAGGAAGAGGAGGAGGACGAGTGCTCCACCCTGGAGGAGGACCAAGCCCTGCGCTCATTCCTTCATACGGTGGAGACCCTGAAGAGAAGCACAAGATGAGCTCCTCCTTGTGATGTCCTACCAGGACTTTGATACGTTCACACCGTGAACAGGGGCCAAACGACGTCCACAGTTTGTCAGATGGAGAAGGTGCTGACGTGAAACCTCTGTGGGAGGTGATCTGTTGATGTCATGAAATATGTCATGATACATGAAGTCCAGACATAAAGAGTGTTTTTACAGAGACAGTTGAAAGCTGTGGGCTGTGATCAAACAGTATTCTTCCAGTATTTTTTGTCTGTTTGTATGGTTAATTCCTGTACATTTATAATAGTGGTATGTTGTGTAAGTCACATGATACACTAGCATGTGCTTATTGGCTGCTTCTTGATGCTGGCTTTAACCTAAAATATTTGTGTATTTACTTTTTTGGCTCAGCAATAAAAAAATAAAATAAAACCAAACTTTGAAAAACTCAAACGCTAACTCTAAAAATATAACCACTAGGTTTTAGGCTGAGTACAGATTGCACCCAGCAGGATCCTCCAGGTTTCCATGTGGTGGCACTATTGACACACTTTATTGGAGATAAATAGTCCACACTAACGCTGCACAACAAAACAATCCCCCCTCTTGAGTCCAGCCACATACATATTAACACCTGCAATCTACAAACTGGCCTTGATTTCCCTACTATAATTCACCCGTGAATAGAATTTGATTTATCTTTGATTGTTTTAGAGAAACCAACAAAATACACAGTGATAGATGATGAGGTTACAACCTCAAGACCAGAACACATTAATCCTCCTGTTGGTAGCATTTAGACCTGGCAGCAGTGGCAGTAAGAAGAAAATTAACCCTGTAACTGCAAGTGATTGGTATAATAATAATATCAGCATATCATAAAAAAAAGCATTTCCTTTTTTTGTTATTGTATATGTTAAATATATATGTATATATATAAAATATACAATTTGTATGCCGAGGCTAAATTGATGAAATACATCTTACATCTAATACATCTAATGCATACTCAGTAATATTCACTTTTTAGGAAAATTACTCTCTCTAATCTAAATCTTTGTCTGATTGTTTTTACATTAATATTTTCTAATGTCCTGATAAGTAGTATAAAGTCTTCAACATTACAAAGTCTGTCTTTAACAAACAAAATTGTTAAAATTGTTCTGTTTCAGACAATTAAACAACCAATAATGTCTCATTTTGCACAAATTTGAAGTATGAAGAGAATGCCAATCATAGGTTCATAACACAATCTCACTCTATACGAACATTATCAAGGACCCCACGGTGGAGGAGTGGTAGGTGCTCCTGCCTAGCAGCATAACAATAACAATAGCCAGGGATAACTGATGGTCTTTTTCTACATAGGTTTTAGTGTTAGTTTGTCTCTATATTTGTCCCCATGCTGGACTTGTTAACTGTCCAGTGTAGACAGTAGAAGCTACATCTATTATTATTATTGAACTATCATTAATTCTTCTTAAGGACACATGTACAAAACACATGAATGGTTGTGCTGCTTTTTGAGACCAGATTGCTTTTTATCCATATATATACAATATATGTATAATCCTGCACTGAGGTCAGTGGGTTATTTTAAAACGTACTGACCTTCAGGTCTGTATTCTAAAGAAATCCAATGCTACGTCAAGGACCAGTTTCTAATAATGATTGACCTTGTAATTGCATAGACACTCACACACCTGTAAACACATTACAGATTTCTATGTTGATCGGAGTGTTTATTTTAGCCATTCAATTTAAATGCTGATTGATGCTATGAATTTTATTTCTTCTCTATTTCCTCAGATTACATCTTCTGCGTCCACCCTCAGATGACAGAGAGAGTTCTGAAGAACCTAATGATCCTAAATGCTTCTCAAGGTACTTAACAAAGTCCAGCCGGAGGACATCACACCTATGTATCACCTATGTATCTAATGTTCAACCCAATGACTCGCCATTAAGTTTGAAATTCATTTTAAAGCCTTGCATAATCAGATGTTGAAGTACTGGTGTGTACTTCTCCACACACACACACACACACACACACTCCTGTGGGTCACTGAGTTCAGGAGACCGGAGTTCACACTGGAGTCTTCTCATAATATCTTTACTGCATGACACAGATGATGCAACTTCTCACAAGCTCATTGGTCAATTTGGAACCAATAAAATCCCCACAGTCTGCGAATCTGCATCAACATTTCCTGGTCAAGGTCTCAACCCACAGCAGAGACAACAGAAATATGGACAAAAGATTTGTCCATATCATGTGGAGTCAGTGTCAGTGTGGGTCATTATTGTGTACTGAGCTGTGAGGGAGCTCTCACTGTTTCTCATGTTAGTTTAGTGACTGCAGGTTGTAGAAAGAAAAGCAGCCACTGTTTTCTGTGAGCTTACAAGCTCCTGTTTGCTGAGAGATTGGGTCTGATGTGGAACAGCATACAGTGTGTTTGAGAGGCATTACAGCAACCAACATCACTCTGGGGCTGGGAAACAGTGTTCTGATTCTGACAGGCACAACAACAGATGCACAATGAAATTGAAAAAAATAAAATAAAATAAAATAAAAAGAAAACATTAAAAATTGTTATCTTAAAGTTGCAGCCTCAAGAGAAACACTGTCTTATAACTATACCGTACTGCTGACAGACAACTCTCTGGACATCACCATTAAGTTCTGCTTGTGTCACCACCTACTGTAGTAAACAACACAGTCATCCAGTCACCACGAGTGTCACCATTGTCACTTTTTATTTGTTTATATATCGCTTACATCATTATATGAGGTTAAAATGGCCGAGTGGTCACTGCCTGCCACCGGAAGGTGCTGGGTTCAATATCATCAAGTCTCCAAATCATTGTAAGAACCAGTACCAATGAGCTGACCCCTAAAAAAAAAAAGAACAAAGTGACAAAGGTGATTCTTTAATTCGTACCATTATAAAGATGATCTCTCCATAGGCCACAAAGTGGATTTTTTTTCACAATTTTTCAAGCTTGCTATTACCTCTGATATATAGAAAATAAGGGTTTCTATTGAGGTCTTCGTTGGGCCACACAAACTGGAGCTCTCCTTGGATTGTTGTCTTTGCTCCAATAGAAAACCTTTCTGTGCTGAAGAAAATCAGGCGAGACAGTTTGATCAAATGTATATTTATATATTTGTTAATACAATTTTTGTCATGTGTAGACATGTAAAAAATGTTGTCATTGTAAGCAATGAATATTTGTGCACATTTGCATATTAACTGGCTGTTATTGCCAGTTAAGTGCAAAAAGTTTAGATGTGATGTTTAGGGGAAAACATTCCTGTCGGGTTGCAAACACAAATTGAGGGTGAAAAAATTAGGCAGTTACACCCATAATTTCTCCGAGCAAATCCCATTGAGCGATCGTATAGCGGAATTAAAACCCAATAAAATTGGTTTATGCGGCCAAACTTGGCTATTTCTCACAAAATAATTGCAAATTAACTGCTGAGCTTCTGTTCAAAATATTCTGCTGATGCGTCAGTCATCTCCAGCTTTGTTGCCTTCCCGGTCTCAAATCTTCTAATTTCTTATCTCTATACATTTCACAGGAAGTTTGTAAGCCGAAGCCGGAGGTCTCATGTATATGTTCATAATTATCTGCTGCCGTGAGCAGCTGATGTGTCTCAACCTGGTGCTGCATATTTAGGTCGCCTCCTGGGTTTACATTTACCCAGCCTTAATCCATTAAAAAGTTTATTCCCCTTGTGGTCTTGGGTGCCCAGCTGGGATAAAGCCACACGGCAGTTCAAGCCTCTGGCTAATTTGTCACCTCTGCTGTAACACTGCTGCAAAAACTGGCTGCAACCAC